CAATTTTCTTATTCTGTGATTTTGCACTCAAACGTGGAGGTCGTGTAATCGTATATATATAATATGAATTACGAATTATTATCGTATGTATGTACGCACTACGATACTTACGAAAATTCTCAAACCGTAGTTAGTCAATCGATTTGTCTCAGTGACTTCAAGATTCACAGATATAATAGCATAATATATAAATAATAATATCTCAACTGCAGCTACATAATAATATAATTCCACGATAATTGAGTGTCACGGTCATTTGTACTTTGTAGCGATTAACATTATTCGATTCCGCTACTTCGCCTCATTCCGATCTCATGGACTTCTGTTGCGAGTGGCACCGACACGTCGTTTACAAGTGACCACCGGTGTAAGGTAATAAACATCGGTAAAAACGGTGAGAACTGACGTCAAATATTTCTGATGGTCTATTGTGAGAAAAATCTCGAGTTTTTTTCCCAGGAAGCGAAGATTGCAGATGATACGATTTTAATATCTTCGATGCGTATTACATATACGTGTTATTAGTAAATACTTATATACTTATAAATTATAACGGTTTTGACTTATTTTGAACCAAAAGGCACACGACATTACGTTTTCACGGCTATTTCGTCTATCGAAACTAAAAACTACCAAAGTACGTGTATATATATATATATATATATATATTATATAGTTCATGTTGTAACTTTGACGGCGATAAATGCATTTTGCAAAAAAATATAGCATACGGGTGAAACGATTCGAGTATTCGATGAATTTCTTTGTCGGAACAGTGCACGTCTCGCAAACCACGAGAGAACTGCAAATCTACGTATAATAACTAATAAGTGTATATGTATAATATTATTATGTGTAACCATACAGACTAAATCCATATTCTTTATACATTGTTTATCTAACACGCAAGTAGTAATGTCTTTTTCCACTCTTTTGGTTAGATAATTAATCCGTCCGCATTATGGAAAACAGATTATAGTTTATAATTTATATTATGCATGATCTTTTAAAAATGTTTCCGTAMACGGATAATGGGTGAAAGACGATTAGCAAGACGTTGTGCGCTACACATTGCTCGACTTGTGGATTTCATTATTATATAATATCAACGCACTTGATTCATGAAAACGATTATTATTCAGTGTSTAGACTGTAGAGAAGAGTTCTATTTTCTCGTCACAACAGAGACGTTCCGTAACAACGTCAGTGTGCAGTGTGCGCAAGGCATTATAATATTATTATAGTTAAATAGCCTTTCCCAAAAAACGTGGACATAGGTAATTCAATATATGTATTATTATTATGTATATTATAAAGTGAATAGAGCAGCCGCAAGAGCCAATAATATCGGCGGCGACGGTGGCATGGCCATTATTGTGCGCTACCTATATAAATGGTATATAATATTAAATACCTGTCTACCTGTTGAAAGAAACCCCAAACAAACTCCATTATAATATATATTTATGCGATCGGGATGATGGAGGGGGACATCTGCCAGCTGACACTCGAATTTCTGACCCTAGTGGGTCCTAGTTTCACTATACGCCACCGACGTCTGGACAGATTTACCACCGTACGCTGACCGTGTTATTATTTCTTTTGTAACAGCACCATCAAAATCAAAATAATATTTATAAAACATATTATTATTATACCGAAAGAATAGGTCAGTATTTTTTTTACCTTTTTTTATATAAATAATGGATCTTTAGTAAAAAGGCTACACACGCGGCGCTGCTACGAAATAAGGAAAAAAAAATAGAATTATAGAAAAGAGCCGCTGTCAATGCATCCAAAAATCAATTACTCCAGTCGAGTTGTTATTATTATTATTATTATTCATTGAAGTGACAAAATTAATAACTATTATGGTACGAAAAAATCTCATAGACGTGACATTACGCGCGTGTTAGGTACCTACCATACTATCATTTATCACGCGTCAGGATTGTATATATAACGAGTACACTGCAAGACGAAAGGGCACTCATATATAAGGAGACCTTTTTATATAATATAATAATATTATTATGTCCCACCATGGACGATAATGGTGTGTTGATAGTTTCGTGTTATCCTTAACTTCCATCATTAATATCCAAGACGGATGCCGCATTATGGTCCTGGGTATAGGGATAATCGGAACTTGACGGTCGATGCGCAAGCACCGTCTTCTCCGGTGGTCCGTTGTCGCTATATAAAACTCTTCGTCGTCGATCATTTAATATCATTACTGTCGGCGCAAATCCCCACACGAGGTCCATTATAATTATACTGAAACGTATATATTATGATATAGACGCCTGCAGTGTTATATATAAAATATATATTAAGCATTAATGTATTTTACATTAGTATATTATGTATATTATAATCACAATGCAATATTCTGTAAAATCAGTATATATATATATATATGTGTGTGTGTGGTATGCCCGAAATGACATTTCATTCACCATTCAAGTAGTGTAATATTGTATTTGTATACTGCTCGCAACACGTCACGATGTGGATCGGACGTTATTTCGGAAATATTTGTCGATAATACAGATCATTAGGGGCGTGCACATAGAGCTCGTTGTTTCAACTCAAGGTCAACCTAATTTTTTCCGAACTATATAGTATTATATATTTATATATATATAAACGTGTCCGGCCGGTAGTTATATTATTATATATTAATTTTATGACGTTTGTTGTGCTCCTTATATGCACGTATATAGGTACTTATATATATATACTTAAATTTATTTCGGTTTTCGAGAAGACGAGACGTCGAAACAATATAACGACCATCGTGTTAAGACATTAATCATAGAATTAATCCGTCGCGGGTCGTAATCATAAAGTAAAAAAAAAATAAAAGAACACGTACGCGTATATCTACCTGAAATACATTATAGGCACTAGCTAGTTGGTGTCGGACGCGTTCGTCATCTTCAAGAATTATCGACGGTACCTATACCTATATACTATGCGTCGTCGCGGGTCGACGTCATTCGATTTCGGTGAGAGAGGGATGATGATGACTTTCAACCCACCCCCACAATACTTTACAAGTGTTTGGCCCGAACGATTAAAAAAAAAAAAAACATCCGATCGGCTACGGCCCTCGAGACGATTATAAACGGCGTTCTTCTCAACACGTGTTGAAATTATTGGTGTCGTTTACAGCGCGGGCGACGATGAAGTGTACGCGTGTGTGATGCGTATTATTATTATGCGGATAATTTATTCCGGATCGTTTTTATAGTTCAAACGAAATATAATAGAACAGCGTTTCGGGTTTTGGTGGCAGTAATAATAGCTCGATTTGCATTTAATATATATAATAATAATATACACCTACTTATAATACCGCAAGTTCTCGACTACTAAATACATATTTTACTACACATAATATAATGTAGGTATGCCTATGTTGTGGATATTATTACTATTGCAGGCGTTTTGTACACGGAMGTTTGTCGGCGATAGTGTATACATATTACATTATAATACATAACATAAAATTGCCCACAGGGAAACTGCAGTAATAAAATTTACATTTTGTCCGTATAAACACACATATAATAGAAGAATCTTGAGGGCGAACTTRAAGAATTTCGACCGCACRTGTCATCGACGAAACGTATAGTTTTCGGATATTTTCGGACCAGCGCCTACTTCAAAACAACATAATTCCTACGGATCATTAAAAAAAATCTAAAACAAATTTATCGCGCATAATGATTGAAACAGTTTTTTAATTTGAGTCGATTACGGAAATAATAATTATTACTTGTATATTAAATATTATGTAATATACTATGATTGCGTATAGACGATAACAATTATGTTATACCTATATAATGTTAATATATTTGTCTCGTTGATTCCACAGCAGCTATATTATTCCGTTATTATAAATGTGTCCAGAAAAAAAATGTTTAGTCTGACATCTGCAGTGAGTTGATTAACGTATTTTATCCACGTAAACTCTGTATAATATCTGTACACCATCTAAAGTAACATATATATATATATATATATATAATATACACTATATGCACTTGAAATTTGGGTATAATATATAATTATGGGAGTTGACATGTCGATTTATATACTCCGGACTTATATGTTTATACGTTATTAGGTATGTATAATAAGGTCGTATCGTTTAAAAATATTCATTGTATAGGACATAAGTATTAGGTTTATACTACATAATAWATTATATATTATGAAGAGCAAATCCGATTGATTTAGGAGGAAGGAAAATATAATGAGTAAACCTATCTCAGTTCCACCCAAATTGTCCGCGTAATCTGTACTGGCCGAAAACTTACCATTTTAAATTATAAGCAATACCTACTATATATATATATATATTAAATTTAGATATGCATTGTACATCAAAGTGTGTTCAAAGAACATAATTACTAAACCATATAAAGTATTAGAAAAAAATTAATAATTATTGTAATTTTATATATACAGGTAATTATAACTAAATTAAAAGTTACGCAAAGGCGGCAAAACTATGAATAATAAAAACTGACAAAAATCGTATACATTTACAGAATGTCATTTACTGTTACCCACACGAGTATACGAACATGACGTGCACTCACAGTGCAGTGTTTGCTATTTTTCGCACAGTCTACGTATATATGTAAATATGTACACATACGTTTATTGTGGCCTCTCAGATTTTTTTAGTTGGCGAAAAAATATTTAATTTTTTTGATTGATTTGCCTTTGGTAAAATATAAACTCGCCATAACGCGGTATATTATAAGTATTGTGTTGTATATTAACAGAACGTTTTAGAACAAACCCTGCCCGTTTAATTATTATATGACCTCGTGTCACATGATATTCTGTACACAAATTTGCACTCGCGGCAGTCAACAGGATATTGTTATATATTGTTATACCCTTATACCCGTAATATCATTATATCGTGCATAATAATGACATATTTTAAAACGCGTTTTGTTTTTGTTGTTTTCCAGCGGACTGACGTCGGATTCGTCAGAGCACTCGGTGCGGCCCGTCCGACTGGACCGGTGCTGGGCGGGCAGGGTGCGCTGGTCGTACCCGCGTGGCGCGCTAAGGGTGGTGTTCCGGTTGACGGGCACCAGTGGCGGCCGCGAGTTCCGCGTCTGCCTCAAACCGGACAGGCTGGACGGCGTCCGCGTGCTGTTGGACAGCGCTCCCCGTCGCCTGATCGCCGTATACGATTACCGCAAGGCCGGCGAGCCGCTCAGGTCGCGGTGCTTCAAGAGCGTCGGCGGCACAGCCGCGTTCTACGTGGAAGCGGACAAAACTGGCGGCGACCGGTCGGGTCCCGTCAGGTTCCGTTACGATCTCGAACCACTCGCCGAACCAGCGCCCCAACTGTTCGTGGCCGACAACCTCGACGACGGTAAGTGTTGGCGATTACTACCGTTACCTATATACAGTAGGTAAACTATATGCATTAAAACCTCTCTAAAAAGCAATCGCTTGGGACCAAACATTTTTCCGTAACAAAAAAGTTTCCATCATAGAGAGGTTGGAATATTATTTGCACCGGGACTATTGACATTTTCCGTTATAAGAAGGATTCCGTTTAATGGAGGGTCCGTTATAGAGAGGTTTTACTGTATAGTGTAATACGTATTATAATATATTATTATGCATTTATACATACCTAGCACCTATACATCTTACCAATAACATAGTATCGGTAATAGGTGTCTACCAGCTAGCAAATTCGTAATGTGTACATTGATTGGGTTTTTGATCAATTTTCTAAAGTACTGACGCCCCGGCGATGGATCGAACCCGTGAGAAACCCACGCAGAAACTACCCTAGTAAGATTTGTTTTTGACGATCTGCAATTAATTTGACTTAAATTTTAAAATAATAATCTACGTTTCATGATCATGAATCWTAATAATATCTACAATCTGAAATAAAGAGAATGAGTATTCTATCAAAAAATTTCATCCACTTATGTCACACCGGTGCACTGATAACTTTGAACCTATATATCTATATATAAGAACCCGACTCCTATTTCTTTTAAGTCTTATAATTGAATAATAATATATAATGTCTGCACGTTTGTATATAAATTAACTAGGACTTAGCGATTGTAACAGAGTGTCGGTTACATTGGTTACAAGTTTACAATCAGCGTATAGTGTGTACCCACCTACAACACAAAAGTATATTTCAAAATATTATTATTAATTCGTTTACGTCAAATTGTCCTAGTCATCATGATCTGTAATAACATAAATATCTATTATMAAATGGATACAAACTWTACTCATCGAATTAAAATACGATATTAATTCGGTTCGGCACGAATAACATAATGGTATAATAACCAATAATCGCAATAACTCAATTTGTTGTATTACAGTCGAATAAATAAATATATTGTTTTGACGAGATAGGACATACTATCAACATTATGACAATCTGAGACAGCAATATTTTCTGATTATAATTTAATATTTACTGTTCGTCGATCAAAATAATAGTCAGTACCTATGTGTTATATCGAAGTATACAGTTTTTAATTTTTCATATTGGTTGTGAAATTGTTGACACAAATAATTAATACATCAATAACAAATAATACTATGTTAGGTTTGTAGATCAACTAAATAAACTTAAAAAAAGTAAAAATATGTATTCTCGTTCATTCTAAAAACAAGTGCCTATATTTATGATAGCTTAATTTTATAGTGGCCATGGTGTAATTGCATATAAAATACAAATCATTAAAAAAAATATATATAAATTTTGTATGGGTGTCAAGAGCAACTTATGAAAAATCTTGTATTAGTTGTATTAGATTTTTAAGCTTTTTGACAAAAATTATCGAACATTTCGAAAAAAAAAATTGAATCGTTATATAAAACTCGTTTTTAGTCCACAAAACTGCAGAACCCAATTGCAGACGTGTAAAACATATTTTATAATCGATCAAATTACATTTCCCAACCATCTAACATAAATTCTCTGTTATATTATTATCTGTTTGAAATGAGTATCGAAGAAATAAACTATTAACATCATTAACATTCAAATGTTCTTTTCACAAACATATGTAGTTTTTAATCTGATGGGGCGTGACGAGCATGGCGTTAAAACTGTCTTATACCTAGGCGGTTTCGGACTGCAGCTTACATGATCAGCTGTCCGATACTATAAATTAATAATAACATATTTGATTTCCCAAGTACGCGTTATTCAGCCTTACAGTGTTACGTAGGTGTTGTTGGGATATCAGGTAATTTATAATAATATAATATAAATGTATAATATTATTGAAATATAAATAAACAGACGAACACACACCGCATGGTCGTATAATACCTATACTGTAATATTACAAAGCACCTATAATGCGTGTTATTATTATTTTTGTTTTTATGTATAATAATAATAATAATATATATATATATATTGCTTTATTAATTAAATTTATAATTTGCACCAACAACTGAAATTATAAGAAAATTAGATTTTAAAAACAGTAAAGAAACAATAAAACGTTTAGGCTGGGGCTATACACGGCGATATTCGCTGCGGAATTCGTCGAGCGGATTTCGCAGCGAATATCGTTCTGTCCGGCTATACACAACGAATTCGCGTGACGAATTCGTTCACTATATTCGCCGCGATTTTCCAATGATGTTACCATAATTTTGATACAATAATAGGTTCCAAAACAGTTTTCAAGTTATTAATATAATTCTATAGTAAAAATGTTTATAAAATAACTCGTGGGGTGAGTTCGAGAATATTCACATATTGATATGCACGTGCAGTACCAATTCATTCTTCAATCACTTTTGTTGTGTCCATACCTCTAGTAGATTCACCAGTTAAACCACCGAAAATATGACGTCTGATGAATTATGTACAGCTGAACTTGTAGCTATTGCGTTAGCTTTGGAAGAAGAGAAGACAAAAAAAACTACCAAAAGAAAATATGCTGTACATCCACTGAACGGGGAAAGAAGAAAAAAAGGACAATTTCAACAAATTTACGGTGATTTACGTAAATATCCAGAAAAATTTTTTTCTTTCTATCGGATGTCTATACAAACATTTGATGAAATGTTGAGTCTCGTCAAACCAAACTTATCAAAGTTAGATAATATTAAAAATGATACGATAACACCGGAAGAACGTTTGACAATCACTTTGAAGTGAGTAGTATAGGTATTTTGTTATGTACTATATTTTAACTAGGTAGTTGATTTACTTTATNGTCTGTTTTCGTATGTTAGGTATAGGTATTATTTTTTATTCCGTACATCGATCACGCTTGTCTTAAGCCGTCCGAGTTTGTTAATATAATATTATAATGTATGAAATAACAATGACACGCGGAGTCTCGCCGATAGGCAGGTTGAATTAAATCGGGCAGGTGTCCCAGGTATATTGTTCGTTGAAATGATCATTGACCCTAATTTCCTTTACTTCATTACAGAAACAATAGAAAATCAGCTTAACAATACGCATTTGTCTAAAATTTCCGACCATCTCGAGTATAGACATCATTGGGTTTCCACTACAAGTGTATACTATAATATTTATAGGACCGTAATTAATGGAACGAGTGTAAAATAATATTGCTTAACCACATCATAATGTATACAGTCAGTATACAGAGAAGATAATGATTTTTCACAAAATCATTATGTTTTTTGATAACTTTAGATGTGTTTAAGCATTGTTACGCAATCAAAATGATTTTACTTCATTCTACAACAACTAGTCTGAAGCACGTAATAACAAGCATAATTTAAGTATTATAAAAAAATGCACGTGTCGCTACACATATATWGTATATGCATACGCATATATATGTAATGTGCATATAAATCGTACAGGCTATAAAAACGGGACATTTTCTAGACAATTTTAATTTTTTTTAACTGCGTATATTTAAAAAAGTTGATTTTGACATGAGYATAATATATTCTCGATATTATCATTTTTTTCTTCTTCTGGGATCATATGTTAAATGCGATATTTGACCTACGTTCGGCCAGTAAACGCTAACTATCAAAGTCCTCGTTGGAAGTCACAAAAAAAAAAATAAATAAAAATAGACCGGCCATAAATTTACTCGAGAAACCTCACGATAAAAAAACCACATAGGTACGCGTTGTTGAAGAATACCGGTTTCGCCTACATTATTCAACAAAGTACACACTGTATACACTTTTATTTCTGTTGTATATAGAATACTGTATTATGTATGATTTTTTTCTTTTATTACTTGGTTATWATATTTATTTATTATCACCATAAACAATGGGAGATTGCAGCCGTCGAAGCATCACGCTAATGGTGATTTTTATTTAAAAAAGTTATAGGCCACTTAACATGTATATATATTATTTTATTATATGCATTTGGAGCTCCTTAACCAGACACACAACACTAGACTATAATTATTATAGCTTAAGAACCCTAGACCTTACTATATATTAGATGGTTTATTGGATTTTAATACCACGATAGAGTCGAGAGTAAATTGTAAATAATATGATAATTCGACGTGTAAAGATGCGTTCGGTATCTTAACTACCACTGTCCTACTATATATATATATAATAAAATAATATGATATAGAGTATAGACTAATCTAAAAGAAAATTACGCCTATCCTGCAATGGAACGTCGTATGATTATATGTCAATTTAAGAATAAAAAAAACATAGACATTACATGCAGCAGTCGATCATTTGGCTTTATTTTTACTTTTTATGTGATATAATAGTGAAAAAGCTATTCCTTACAATGCCATCTTTAATACGATTTTAATTATATGTATTTTTTTTCTATTTTCAGAGTGCCGGCCGTGTACCGTAGAAGAAATGACACAAGCTTACTGCACGAGTAGTTTAGGTGAGTTTTGTCAATTCATTGTTATCTTATACTTAA